TAATCCGGATAAGATTAAAGCACTAAAAGATCATGGTTTGAAAATATCTGGCACTTTACCATTAGAAATTGAACCTTCACCATTCAATCTGGTTTATTTGGCATCGAAAGCGGCTAGTGGTCACACATTGAAATATTTCGATGATGCTTTGATACGAAATCGATCGGCACCACCTGAACCCGTTATACCGTTCAAGCCGCATGCACTGGAGCATGCAAAACGTTTCATTTTTGTTGCCTCTTATTTCCTGCCGATGAAACCTGTGGATGCTGAAATACTTTTAACTGATAAACAATTCTTAGAAATATTCAAGCAAAATCCAATTGATCAATACATGTCAGCTGCAAAACCGGTTATTCGCAGCTATAAATCGATTCGTAACAATCGATTCATAATTAAAATTGATATGAAAAACATGAAAAAGTACAAAACACAAAATCCAGATGATCCCGTTAGCCAATTGACTGTAATCCCCTATTGGTTCTTTGTTCATGTTTACTATGACATTGTCACTGGTCAAGAGTTTATAGTTCTCACTCACGGCACACCAACCATCAACGACCACCCAATGGTCAGAATACATGGTGAATCGTTATTCAATCGTTTTCCACTGCGACGAGTCACGCATCGGGATAAACTGAAAAAATCTGTTCAACAGATTATTGACTACGGTGTAGGTGGCATTTTCCTTCTGACGCATGATGGACGCGGCGCTGGTTTTGGTGCTTATGTTCTGGATCGAATGATGATGGAGGAAAATGTGGTCAAATCTACAGAAGAAGCCCACGATTTAATTGGTATTCATTACGATTCTAATGATTACGATGCATGTATGCATTTGATAAAGCATCATTTTCCACTGAAAAAGATTCAAGTAATCATGTTTTCACAATCAAGTCTAATAAGAAAAATTGGCTACTTAACAGCGCTAAAAGATCATTCATTGGATGTTAAAAACTATATATTTTTAGACAAGTAGCGGACTACAGATGTTAAAAAGACTACCCCCAAATAACAGAAGCCCCTCCTCTATTAAAAGCCCTCCCCTTATTAGAAGGTCCCCTTGGAGAGGTCGATGTGAAAAATATATTAGAAGTCCCCTTCATTTGACAAAAATTCTGAAATTTTCCGAAAGTTTCATTGGTATTTCTAAAGTAAAACCTGTCAAATTTTCAGGATTTCATATGAAAACTACCCACTTTTTCCTCGCCACGATTCAAGCCGAGAGACCGCAATATGCGAATCCGGCATGTCAAGAAACGGTGTTCACCTAAGTTTGAGTTTGAAGGCAGACATAAAGTTTCAAGCGAAATTTTTGACTGTGGTTCTTAGGTGTTTTGCCTAAAATTTTGGACCAAAACTTTTTTTCTCGAAACATATCGAATTATATATCATTCGATGCAGGTTTTTACGCAGATTCCGAATATCACATTGGTTTTGCATAAAAATGCTTCTGAACATTTAAAAATTAAGTTTTTCACTTTTTCCGTTCTGCATATATAAGTTCGTGTTTACTATGAAAAAGAGAAAATATATCTTTTTCTTCTCTCTTTTCTCTCTTCCCATGTGATAAAACACGTGCTTATTTTTCTAGCGTGTCATCGATATAAGAACATTTGATGAGTCGATTTTTATATTTTATGACTTCAGTGAGAAAAGGTGTCTCTCAATCACATACTGATGATCTACCAGTATACGTCGAATTTTAAGCTCTCTCCGAATTTGAATGTTTGGCATTTTGGAAACAAGTACCATCCGAAATAGACGAGTTTTAAGGCGCGCGTAATTCAAACTTACCGAAGGTCTTTATTTTTGAATGAAAAACACATACTCGGATAGGAAAAAGTGTGCTGATTCCGAATATGACCTTTTTACCTCAATTTGACTGAGTTTTCGGGGAGAAAATGGCAAAATAGTGAGGCCAGGTCGAAAACCGGTCGATTGATATGTATTTCGTAAGTTTTAGTTGATTTTCAATTCTGAGTGAAAATCTCGGTAATTTTTCAAAGTTGAAAATTCGAAAACAATCAAAGTAGTCAGATAGGATAGACATACATATCAATCGACTCAGTTTTTGATTCTGATTCCGAAAATGATATTTTTATTGCTAGACAAAATCTGTTATTGATATCAGGACTCAGTCCTGCTGAATTTGGCCGTAACGTTCTGTCTACCTTATTTGCTGATAATGAATTAGCAACGCATACAATGCCGGCGTTACATCGTCATGAACGTCGTACGACCGCTCCACCAACATTGGATGCCGACAAAATTGATATTTTAAAAAGTGAGCGAACATTTTTCACTGACCTGTCGTGTCCTTCCTTAGTAAAAGCGAAGAGCACTTAATATAAAAAATAGGGCAAAATTATTCTTGCTTTCTTTCTATTATTCGACTGAAAACCAGAGCGAATTTATTAGCAGAAGTAAGCATAAGGTTGAGTTTTTTCACCGCCACAGTCATTTCCTGTTCATGGCATAAAAACTTAAAAACAGTTTGAGTTTTGCGGAGGATGCAAAGTGACAAAGAAGCTTTGGAAAGAAAGCTTTTGGCGGAGGAAACTTTGTTATTATACAATTGTATAACTACCTTCTGTCATTTAGGTACAATTCGAAATAAATTTTGTATGACTGAAAAGTTTTTTGCAACTTATTATGAATTGTGTATTGCTCAAACGTTGCGAACAAAATGTTCGAATGCAAAAATCAAAAAACGAAAGGCTGAAAAAGCTGCAGCTCTTTCAACAAGAGCAGATGATGATGGAGGTGATACTGGTGCAGATAATCGTACAAATAATGAAATAGAATAATGATACTCTTTACAATGACTTTCTTTTATGAATTTTTATTTCTACTGAAATGTACCTCTCTTTTTACTAATCAAGCATATTTTTTCTATTATGTATTCATCATCTATCTCATACTGGTTGAAAAAAACCATTACCTGTAATATCTGTCTAGTTTGTATTTACTCGCCCAACAAAGTCGATTTTATCTGACACTGGAGATATACAAAGTTAGAAGAATGATCTATTTCTCCATATCTCAGTTTACAGTTTCTAGTACAGTACTTTTCTTTTATTCCCTTTTTCGAATCTCATTAGCGAAAGAGAAATCTTATTTTTTCGTTAAGCCGATGATTAATTCAAAATCTGGTGTTCATTTGCACATCGAATTACATCAGGAAGAGTTTTAAGGAGAAACGGTCCCTTTTATAAGTGGCTAATCATCTGAAAAGTTTGTTCATACATTAATAATTATAGTAAAAACGGGGCTGTGAACGTAATAAGCCAAATCAAAACTAATATCAGTTAAAAAAAACGATTCTGTGATTGATCATTTTTATGTCATATCTATATCATAATGGAACATAAATGACGCATTTATATGTCATTGAAATGATGTCATTATGGCTATAAAATGGTATAAAACCTGTTGTCTCATTTTATGATCATCCGTAGAACATAGACATGATCCAAAAATGAGTCATTTATGTCTCATTATTCTATACTTATGGCATAAAAATGAGCTTTCGCTAAAGCCGCTTCTCGACCCTTACATTTATGGTCTAAAAATTGCTCATAAATGATTTTGAAATTACTTGGATAGGATTATATTTCGAAGGCCATACTAGGGTCATATTTATCCCATAAAAAAATGACATAATTATCACTACATTATGATACAATAAATGGTATGATTATGGGATAAAAATGATTCAAAAATAAGCCATATATGACATATAAATGAGTCATTTATGGTTCATTTTTGATCTCATTTTTCATGGCCTGGGAAGTCGTAGCGACCTGAAATATGTTTCTGTAGTAGTTTCGATGTCTAGATAATCTACAGAAAGTTTCAGTGTTCTAACTCTTTCCGTTTTCGAAGTGATGGGGCCGAGTGCTAGGGATCGGAATCCTTTTATCGTTTTCACTAGGACCATGAATAGTATCTCTATCCCTAAGATCATTGAAACTAGAAACTAGAGCTGTACATCTGGCGATGTTCTCTCGTTAGTGTATAACAGATGACTTTACACTAAGACTGAATATATATATTAGAATGACTATATATCTCGGTTGTGATTGTAAAAATTTTCTGAAAATGTAGTGACGATGGACCGGTTGATTCGAAAGCTCTACAGTGTTAGAATCAAATAAAATCAAATAATAATTTACGAAATAAATGGATAATAAGCAGCAAGCAATAATATGTATTCACTTATTTCAAAAGTCTTGCCAATGTCACACCTTACAACACTAATTTATTTTCTCACATCCTCTGTACAATTAATTTCAACAAACGACGCTATCCTCGATGATATTTTCACACCCGAATATGTTGTGAAGATGGTTGTTAAGAAGTGAGCTGCATTCTTTTAAAACGAATAAATTGCTTGTGTAGTTCGGTGGTGGTTGCATAGCAACAGAAACGCTGGTTTTTTTCTTTAACGACGGCAGTTACCTGCCTACTAATTCTTTATCTTTTTCATCAATGTCAAGCTTCAAATGAGCCAATCTTATGCATAACCATCATAAACATCGCGAACATTTGATTTAAAACGAGGAGTAAGAAGAATCGAAGAACATATGGAAGAAATACAAGGAGCACAGCCAAAATATGGCTTCAATGAAAGGCCGATATTTAAAGACTATTTCAAGTAAAAGCCATTTTCAGTTTCATCATGATCTAACGTAACGAAATATTTCTCATCTTATTGTAGATATGAAGGCATCGCCACTGATGTATTACACATGATGCTTAGAAAAGTGGACCAATTTCTAGAACATGCGGTTTCGTCCTGCCTGTGCTACCGAACCACGTTCAATGGCTAATGAACCCTGCTTTCCCTACTATCTACTCAGTGAATACCGAGATGGTGTTATTACATGCAAATTACGTGAGAATATAACACTCATTTGAACTTGTAACGAGTTTAAAACGGCTTCCCAGTTTCAACACAGACGGTGGCATTTTCATCTCGTAAAGAGTTTAAAGACTGCCACCCGTGCCAGCAGATGGGATAATAGGATAAATCTGGTCACAGGCCTGAATTAAGGTCTAAACCATAGTCGCGTATTTCTATTCTAGTCATTTTAAAATGGGCACAGATTAAAGATGGATTCATTTCTAAACTCTTGCCTTTTACAAAAGAAAACAACTGGATAACAAATAATGAAAGCAAAAGGCTTGTGCACCAATGGCGTGCACAAGAACAGGCTATTTTAATTGGGACAAATACAGCTTTGGTTGATGATCCGCAACTTACAGTGCGATTAACCAAAGGGAATAATCCTCTAAGAATTTTGATTGATAAAGATTTAAAAGTTTCAAAATCAAGTAATATATTTTCTGCGGATGCTGAAACAAGTGTTTTTACATCTAGTAAATCTGTTACTTCGAGCAATGCTGATAGTTATCGGGATGAGAAGCATATAAGTCACTTTCGAATTGATTTTTCAAGAGATATCGTTCAACAAATTTTGGATATCCTTTATCAGAAGAAAATACTTTCCATTATTATTGAAGGAGGAGCTCAAACCTTGCAAAGCTTTATTGGACAAGGCTTTTGGGATGAAGCAAGAGTTTTTACAGGTAATACATTTTTTGAAAAAGGCATAAAAGCTCCTGTTATCAACGGCAAGTTAATATCATCTGAAAAGATTGTAGACGATGAATTAAAAATTTACAAGAATGAAACGACTAACAGCCGTTTTGTCTCATAATTTCATCGTAAAATACAGTTAATGTTGACATTTTTTTATCTGACTACGGTTAAAACTTTTAATTTTCCCATTCCAACTATTATTTATTGTTGTATCTTTGTCGTTCTTAAAAACGTTAAAATTAGAATGGCAATGAAAATCAGTTTTCGACAACACGCGAAAACGAATAATATCTTTTTACATCGTCGTGTCATATCACAGCTTCATGCGATGAGATGTGCAGTGAAAAATAAGCCGTTTATAATCCTAACAGTAACTGTTCTGTTTTGTTATATTTTCTATTAATAAATGTTAAAACATCTCCAAAACAATGAAGATTAATGTGGACATTCATTCAATGTCATTCTTCTCATTCAAGCGACATGTAACGCACAGTCGCAGCTTTCAAAATACCTGCTGCGAGCCTTTTGGTCGAAACTAGACGAGGATGAAAAAAATCGCCTAATAATGTTCTGAAGTCTTCATCATTTTGTTCGCTTTGTTGAACAGACACGCATTCCCGAAGTGATGCTTCATGACCAGCAGAATCGGTATAAAAAAGTAATGAAACGTGCGCTCAAAACAGTAACTACTCATTATTTCTAGAGAACTTCATAAGCTATCAATGTGTAAAAAGATTATTTTGTATGTTGCTTCCTTTCTGAGATAATTAAAATTTGTAGGTTTTTAAACAAAAAGTTTTTGTTCAAAGTTTTTTACCAAAACAGACTTTTATTTTGTGTAATGTATTGATAAAAGCAGATACATTAAGACGTTCTGTTTTAAATGATATCACTGGAACAACGTCAACTGATGTCAATAAAATATTCATGAAGAAATTAATCATTGGACACGGCAAAATTCAACAATTATCCGAACTGATTCGTCGCTTACCAAGGCTCGTGTAAATGTAAAAGTTGTTATGAATAAAGAATATTATTAGAAAATTAAGGCGTTATCTATCCACTCCGTTGATTGAAAATAGTCCAATAGTCTCTTATTCGAATTTGAAGGCTCTGATTGCTTTTTAATTTCAGATTCTGCTTTTCCTAACAATGAGTAATATATGTGTTTTTTGTCGTGATGCAACAGGAGATGTATGTTGTGGCATCGATTACCAGAATGATATGGCCTGTACTTGTCCCAAATATTGGAACTAGATGAACTAATGAGGCCAAGAATCAACAAACATCTATCAGATTCCAGAGTACGTCCAGTGATTAAGGCCTTTTGACTAACCACTAGTCGAAAATGGACTTTCAGTCAAGTGTCAGTGAGTCGCAGATGAACGTCACTTGTAATTTATAATAAATTTTAAAAGCTGAAAATTCAAATTTTTGAATGAATTTAAGAAACTGAATTTTGAATGTGGTATTTTTATACTGAGTGTCCTAAACTACCATTTCAATGCTTTCAGAAAGCTCTAAAGAAAAGCTCGCGGACGGTAATGGGTTAATGATGCTAACATTTGTTGAGTTTTGTTTATTAACCTCGCTTGAATTTTCATTTATTGTTGTGGCTGCTGCTGGTGATAGCGATGGATGTATGCTTAGTTTTGGGAAAGATCCTGTATAACGCATAGTAATTAGTTGAGGTTCCGATGTTTCTTTTGATTCTTGTTGTTTGAGAAAAATAACAAGTGGGGTATATATTGCAGTTCCAATAGCAATCATATACATAATCCATGAAAAACCTATTGCCTCACTTAGAGAGCCGGCTCCCAATGCACCTAGAAGAAGAAAACACAAAGTACAATAGTGAGCTATAAGCGTCAGCTTTTTTAATCTTTACATACTAAAAGAATGAAGCAACTCTTATAAGCTTTATTGTTTTACTAATCATATGATTTCTAAAATAATATTATGTTTGAAAAATACAAGTCAGAATTTAATTTGAAAATTAATAAAGGAAAAATAATTTAGGTTTTTAAATAAAAAAATTTATAGAGAATTAAGAGTGATTCTTTTCTATATGTTCAATTCTACTTAAGTTTTACTTGAGAATCATCGCTGAATTTCCTTACCTGAGAAAATGCACGAGGACGCGATAAAATAAGAAAGAAAAAGAGATTAGTTCACTTCAATAGTAGAACAAGACAAACGAAAAGAAGAAGAAAACCCACTATGATCTTTGAGTACAAGTGAACCAATTTATCGTCTGTATTCAAAGAAAAAAAGAAATTTCCGAACACGGGCGCTTTTTTCTCCTATTTATATAACGTATAAATAGTTGTGTACAGGATTTACTTTCCAATAATTAGATAATATGTATACTAATTAAACAGTCTGATATACTGGTTGAGTACGAATTAAATGCTGTTATCCGCGTTACATATGTGTTATTAGTAATAATGATAATGGTCCAAATGATCGAAACCAATCGCGAAGATTTTAACCGTTTTTTGGATACTCTTTTTAAGACCTTTCCTGGTCGAGTTATAGGAAAAATACTAAAAAATGTCTTTCAGTTTTTCAATTTTAGAAACCCTATAACTCGGTAAAGAAAGGTCTAAAATAAAATTCAAGAAAAACGCCTTTGCAATAGTGTCTTGAGTACCACGGGTGAAATTTTTAACTCGATCGGATGAAATTTAAGGGGGGGGAGGGGCATAGTGTGCATCCAGGCGGACATTAGGGCGAAAAATGAAAATCGGCTTTCGAATGATTTAAATAGTGATTTATATACTTCAAGTGATGCTCTATCCGATGGCATAAAAATTGTTGTTACAAAATCTATGGATCATAGTGAAACAGATAACCAAAAAACCAAAAAATAGCTTGAAAAGAGTGGTATCGACGAGAAAAGTATAATTTTCACAACAGCCAATGGAGTTGTAATCAAAAACGAGATATATTCTAAATCTACATGGTCTCGACTATAGATTAGTAAAAAAAATTTTAATTTGGACGTATAAGAGCTGAGAAAATTTTACAAAAATTTTCTAAAGTGATTTTCTGAACGGCTATTTTCAGTAAAATGAGCGCGCCCTCCACAGCCCAATTCGAAGCTCGACCAAACTTTGGCAAAATGTTCGTCAACATGCTTTGTATCTATGGTGAATGCGCAAATGTTTCTGAAGCAGACAGCGGGTTTTCCAAAAAATCTGAGTTTTTCAGATATTTTTCATTTTTCTCGGTTCGGAAACGTTTTTATTCAACAAAAATTACATACTCGGTATTAGCGCAAGAAACTGCATCGAATGATGTGCGATTAGTAGGTTTTTTTAAGCAAAAACTTGTTGGATGTAACGGAACGCTAGAGTCGAAGCATAGTGTGACAATTTTGGCTAAGGATTTTGATATTTGCTATAGAAGCGGTCCGAAAGTCTATACACACTTTTTTACAGGTTTTCAGATATACTCTTTCCAACGGCGTGCTTTACAAAGTTCCAGAGTACTTATGTGTGGGTTTTCTAGAGAGCCAGTCTCTGGAGAACTCAGATGAAAGTCTCTTTGAATTTTGTAAAGTCAGCCATTGGAAAGAGCATATCTGAAAACCTATAAAAAGGTGTTTATCGACTTTCGAACTGCTTCTGTAGCAAATGTCCGCCTGGCCTATGGAAAAATGCACACTGTGGGGGGGGGGGAGGCCGTAATGCGATACAATGAAGCCGGCCANCCCCCCCCCCCCCCCCCCCCCCCCCCCCCCCCCCCCCCCCCCCCCCCCCCCCCCCCCCCCCCCCCCCCCCCCCCGCCCGTAATGCGATACAATGAAGCCGGCCACGTACCCTTAAGGTCACGCAAACTTCATTGTGCGACTTATGTAATAAATATTGAGAAAAAAAACAAATAAATCAGTTTTTGGTTTTTGAGTGCAAATGATTGCACCGCCGTACTCAAAATACAAATTCTCATGATCGATATACCACAAAAAACTTAATGAAATCTTCAACAATCAGATATAGAAAAACGATAATTTTTTTATAAAATTTTGTAAGAGTTGGCAAAAAGTTTTTGTCAAGGCTATCCAAGTTTGTTTAACTTTACCTATGGCATACCCAAGTGATCCTGCTGTTGTAACGATTGCGTATGTATTTGCATTAACAGATGAATGGCGTTTATCAGCAAGATCACTTAATACTTGTAAAACTGACACATCGACTATAGTTCCAGATACGCCTAATATAAACATAGGTGCAATCAATTCATAAAATATTTTTATTTGTGGTATCTGAATGAAAAATTAAAGACATAATATCAAATATTTTTAGTAGTACGCAATGCAAAGAATCAAGTTTTTCTGATTTCGTCAAAAAAATATTTCCGGCACCGGCTCCATTTCTTTTGATCGGGTATTGAAAAGAATTTCATCTGCAGAATGTATATCTACTCAGATAAGCGTATTTTAGACTTACCCAAACGAAAGGAATAATGACAACGATCAGACCGATAAAAATAAATATCCAGCTGAAAACAACAAAAAAAGAAAACATTTCAGAGTTAGCGAACAAAAGAACTTTTTTTGTGTTACGCAAGAAGAAGTTACCGTTTAAACTTGTGTCCGATTCTACTCAGTACAAGTATTGCTGTTAAATTACCAATGGACGCTGGTAGAAATATGAAACCTATGATGAAAAAAAGCGAGAACAATATCTGAAATCAGTTTATTAAAATGAAAATGAATACGTAATAGAATTTTATGAACCTTGCATCCAGGCAGATGATTTCATTGTCACACTCATCCAAGTTGGCAATATTGCTTGTATTAATGCATATCTTATATTATCAATAAAGAATGCACCTAAGTAGTAATATGTAAGAGAATTGATAAATACGGGTTGAATATATCAAACATTTAAAATATTACCTGTAGCAATTAATATATAAGGATCCATTACCAATGTTATTAATGATGGACCTATTATTTTTGCCTCCATAAACTTAATTTTAAAACTCATTATAGATAAATGTAACACTAAAAATAGTAACGAACATGAATTAAACCGATCGGATTTTCATAGAATGGAAAAAAATGGAATAGATCCAAAATCAAAGTAACACTGGCAATAAACTCCGTAGTTCAAGAGGTATCCGAAGACACCATATAGTTAAGTTCCATTAATTTTGACTTTCATTATCGTATCCTAGAAAATTGTTTTTTTAAGAACTGGCGTAACGTTCTAAACGCTTTGGAGAGTCACTCATATTCACATTCTGAGATGTGCGTTCGTTTTTTTATCGGCTACTGTAGTCAAAAGTTTCATAATGAAAATCAAAATCAGGGAAAACTGAAACTGAATTCATCATTAAATTAGCAAGCTCAAAAGTCTCTTATGCGATATACTTCAATAGCTATTATATAATTGGCAAAATCTATGATCTGAAAAACCTGTCGTTAAGCTATAATAAACATAAATAAATAAATTGTCCTTCTAATTACATCCATTGCACACCAAAAGTCCAGTTAGGATAAGAAATATAGCCAAATAATTAGCAAAATCGTACAAAAGACCAGCATACCATGGTCCCACTAAAAGAATAAAGTCAGCCGTTAAAAGAGTATATTTGAACTTCTAATACAATATCTTAGTCTCCGATGTCGTCGATTAAATGCGATTATAAAATAAACGCTGATTACCGCCGGTTCAGTTTTATCGGTGAACCGACGAGGATTCTTGCCAATTTTGAACCTAGTAAAAAACAGATTTTTGTCTACTACACACTAAAAAATAATGTATCGCATGTGTCGCACATAATCATCTGCAACGCCGGGAGCCGCTTGCAACACATTTTTTTTCATTGAGGCTGCGACACATTCCGTTGAGTATTTCTATCATACAGAAAACCGTGAAAATTCAATATGTTTGATCTGTTATTCGACTTTAAGAATATTTTCAGTTCGTTTTGGATGCACTACGTAATGTGGACGAGGTCAATCCGCCCATAATATTCACAGACCTTCAAAATATTTAGTTTCAGAGATCTGGGATTAACAGCGTAGGCAAGGCCGCGGATTGGCTCTTTTTCGTCAGAGAAAAAATGTTTAACATAGAAAAAAGGTTAAAATGACTTAGACAAGGTTCTTTATCTACGAATAACATCAATTCAAAGTCGAAAGAACTTAAAAAGCCCAAAAATTTTCTTATCTTTTATGTATTAGCACTACCTCTAGCTCATCAAAATTGAAGAGAAGCCGAGAAAAATCCTAATGAAGACTACTGAAAAGAGTAAAAAATAAAATTTAACAATTTTTTGAACAGAGCAGATCCTGAAATGACCACAAGAACTGTGTCTGAAAGTTCTTATTAACGATGACACATTCTTTTGCGACACAGTTTTCTTCTGACTAACATAAGTTTCACTATGCTTCACCGATGCGTAATACTCCCAAGGAGCAACCGCTGATTAATACAATACTAAAACTATTAATAATTACCGAGTGTTCCTAGGACTACTCCACTATATACAATTCCAACTGCTTGACCTCGTTCTTTCTCATTTAGATACTTTTTGGTCAATATGTCAAGACCTATATTGAATAAACTGAGCAAAATTTATATTGTTGTATTATTTCTAAAATTCTAATAAATACCACAAACAAATATAGTCGATGACCCAATTCCTTGAATACTACGTGCAACAAGTAACATAGCATAACTATGACTAAAGCCAAACACTTAAATAAAATAAGCAAACAATCTGCATACATTACATCGGGAATTATTCGGTCACAATAAAAAATTAAACTCACTTAAAGTTGTAAATATTAAAATTATGTACCCAGCTAATATTGGCAGATCGGGACCAATCCTTAAAGTAAATTCATATCGAAAACCGACATTTTTTGAACTGGAACTGGGACTAGTCCCGCACATTTCTACTGATAAAGCATCAGTTCAATAACTAAATTTATTCAAAGTTGGATGATTTAATCTGTGAAAGCTTTTTAAGTACCGAGAACAAATGGCGTTGCAAAGATATTCACGATAGAAAAAGATCATTAATAGAGGACCATGCAAAATCACGCTACATTTTTATGTGTGATGTACCTCTCATACCTCTGGATACTGCCAGTTTGCTCGATTTTGAATTTTCGATAGCAAATCGAGATTACACGCGGCGGTTCCACCGTACACCACTAGGGCATAGTCAATAACACTCAAAATATTATACACGGAATTAAGGGTTTGGTGAGAAACTCTTCTACTTGAATATTTCATTGACCTACCGTTTGGAATATTTTATTACAAATATTCAATATGACTTTTCTATTCGCGTGTGGGTGTCAACATCAAGCCTAAATGCACATGCTGGTGTCACCATACTGTAGACGAATAGTATCAATAACAGGAAAAGGAGGAGCCATGTCCACATTGGAACAGGCATGCACCAACACCAATCATTATTGAAGATATTGTACAATATCCACTAATATTGGAACCCAATATTATTGTATACCCAATCTGTTGGGACCAATAATATTGGTTACTCAGTATATTGGGACCAATAATTATTGGTCACTCAATAATATTGTACAATAATATTGGGTAATACTGGGTTCCATAATACACTGAATTCCAACTTTTTAACCTTAATATCATTTACCTTCATAAAAACGTGAGGAAGCATATCCCGATAGGGATTAGGCTTGCACCGATTAACAATCGATATTAGGGCATCCAGCAAAGTCGTTCCGAATCAGTTTTAAAAACGCACTTAGAGCTGCCGAATATCTCATTTTGTAGAAAAATGTTTGCTCTACCAAACTAAAGTGCAAAAAGACATTTTAGTGTTATCTGCGACAGAAACATAAGCATCAAAAACTGAGCAAAATTGCGAAAAAAGCGACGGACGGTTATTTTTCTATGATTCTAGTGCGTTTTCGATTTATTGTATTTTCTCTATATATAACATTAAAATTTTTGTAGCACTTCAATTTAGTAGAGAAAACATTTTCCTACAAAATGAAGCGTTCGGCTGCTTTCAGCGTTCGGAGAGCTTTTTATAACTGATTTGGAATGACTTTGCTGAATGCCCTAATACTGATTATTAATCGGTGCATGCCCAGTCGGGTTAATTTTTTGATTCAAAACGGAATATAAATCATGATTCCGTACTGTAAAAGTAGGCCGAACTCAAGTGACCCATACCCAATAATATTGCGAAAACCCAATATATTGCACGACCAATAATTATTGGTTCCACTAGATTGAGTGACCAATATTATTGGGACCGACTTGACCCGAAGTGGTGCGAAATTTTCGCAACTTGATCCGAATGACCCGACAATTTTCTTAGGTGCCCTGATAAATCTTTCTGAAAAAAGAGCAGAAGCCTGTAGCTTTTGTAATAACTCAGAACGTTTCTCTGATTTTTTCTCCAAGCGGCAGCTCATTCGAATTGTGATAACCCGAAACAGGAAATCTTTCTCGATCGTATATTGTCATGAAGTTTAACCATCATAATGCGATGCATATTTAAGGCGTTCGTTTTTCTGAATTTACTTATGTTTCCTTTTCTCTTTTCTTTCTTTGCTTCAACAGTGCGATACTGTACAATATACAGTGTACATTACACAGCGTCAAAGCAGAAAGGAAAAAACACTGTACTTCTTTTTCTGGTAAAAAAGCTACTTAGGGCATACCAAAAGTAGTGGCAGTGGTATTTTTATCCCTTATAGAAAGGTTAAAGAAACTTTCTTTTATATAGTCTGATAGAGAAAAGAATGTTCTATTTTTCTATGCTATTTG